AAATACTTTAATAAAAAAAGGAAAAAAAAAATACTCTTTAGGTGTATATATTTATTATTGCTTGCCACTTTCGACGGTTCATATTTTTCCAAACAGGCAATTGCTTGGAGAAAAGGAAGTGGCCTTGTCGGGCTAACCCTAGTTTAGTTTTTTTTGATACAGCTAACCCTAGTTAAGTAGCTAACGTGTACATTGAGTTGTTCACAAATGCCGTCTCAAATCTCAATATTTTTTTCTTTCTAGGTTCCATAGCTAGAGCTTCATGATCTCACCAACATAAGAAGCTGGCACACATGAATTTATTAGTGCATATGTTTATTGGTGGTCCGAAATTAATTCCCCATAAATATTTGACATCAATATATATTTATTATGAATCTTATTTAGTTGATTTGTGTGGTTCTAGTGTAAGTGTTTTACTTATATCATTAAGTTTCAATTTCTTTGTATCATCATTCTCTCTTCTCTAATAGTCCCAATTCCCTTATTTCAATATATATATATATATATATTATGATTTTTAACTTTTGTTAGTTTTGGATTGACAAAATAAAATGTTAAAGTTAATATTTATCAAAACAAAATGTTAAGGTTGGAAATTATTAAAATGACATTTTATTTTACTAATCTTAGTTGAATATAACAATTTTTGTTGTAACTTGTAGAAAAGGAAAACATGAATTAAGTGATTGAAAACTTTTATTTTTGGGAACAAGATAAGTTGGTTCATTAATTCAATCCTCATTGTGGTATTAAATCCCCACCTCAGGCATTCTTGGTGTTCACAATTCATATCAAAACTTAACATTCAATGTTAGTATGTGCAACCCTAACTAAAACTAGGTTAATTGTCAGTTTTAAGTGTTATTTTATTCTTTCATTGACTTCGTGCTCAAAATGACTACCACCTAATAAAAATTAGGATCAAAATCAGAAATTTTTGTATCTTTCTCTTTGTTTTCCTCCTTATTTGTGTAGAAAATTTATGAATATAATCCGTGCTCTAATAATTCATTATTTTGTTAAGATTCAGTAGTTAGGCTTTTGATTATATAGGAATCGACCACAACATAATTAACTTTTTCCCATGGTTAAAAAAAAAAATCAAATTGATTTTGTCCGCAACAAAACAAGCAAGAACTAAAGAATATATAAATACTGGGTCAAACTATTTTGCGATAATTACTAAAAAAAAAAAAAATAGGAAGGAATTTTGTAACCTCGTCTGGGGATTGGCCCTTGGTACGTAATCCAAGAGGATCTCCTTAAAAGAAGGTTGTGATGATCTCTCCACATCATATCTACCTAGACCTAATGCATTCCCACCTTGAGTTATTCAAACTTTCATTCTCTGATATATATCGAGCAAATGATTAATTTTTTTTTATTATTACGTAAAATCAAATTATATATACATATATATTTTTTATATAACTTATCCGGTATTTAAAAATTTACTGGATCATCAATTAATTCAAATTTGAATCGAGCAGGACTCAATGGATAACAAAACTCTCTCTCATGAGTTTTAACAGAATTGTATTTTCAGGACTTGAAATCAAAATTTCTAATTAAATTAAAAGAATGTCCTACTAACTCATCTATTCACTCATAAAAAATTATATATATATATATATATATATATATCATGATATTGGTTCTTTTAGGTCGGATGTACATACGCTATATTTTAATCAACATTTTCACGAGTTTATGGCTTCAAAATCACCGGTAGAAATTGGAATCTTTCTTTGGTAAATACTAATAGATATTGGAAACTGTTAAACAAAGAGGACATTTTTTTTTCCTTCATTTTTAAAACATACATATGACTCACCGACCTCAAGGGGTTTTTTATTATTATTATTATTATTATTATTATTATTATTATTATTATTATGTTGTTGTTGTTGTTGTTTTTAAGTTAATTTTTCCGTGTTTCAAGATTAATATATTTTAGATGATTTTAAAAATACATCTTTATGTTGAAGTAACACATTAAAAAAAATTAAATTTCTTAAGTACTTACACCAAAACTTAAACCTTATACATGACTTATAAGATGACACTTGTATATTAATAAATTTAATCTTTGAAGTTCTCAAGGGTTTCTTAACTTCTGAACTAACAAAAGCTTGAATTCATAATGAATTTAAGTTGAAGCCTTAACTTCAAACTTAAAATAAATGAGAGATATAAAAAGAAAAAAAAGGAAAGGATAAGGTTTTTTATCCATGTTATATAATAGTATATCATCAGATTAAAAAATACATGATCACATTGGCTGCTAGAATTGTTTATTTTAGTTAATTTTTTGTTTCTTAAATGCGCAAAATTGCCATCAAAGGAAAGGAAACAGAAAGATAAATAATTAGAACCGTAGATGATAACATCGATAGCAACGAAAAATCCACACCCAAAAGCCTAACTAACACAGCAAGTCCGGCCCAAATTTTAAACATACATCAGAATAGAAGCCCAGTAAGCCACATATTTGAAAACTTCTTTTATATTCCATTAAGATTTTGTTGTGAATTTTAATCTCCCAGCCCAATATAACACCTATAATTTGGGCTTTATCAGGTATTTTACTCAAAAACCGGCCTAGTCTGAGAGTAAGAGCTCTCACAAAGAGTGAAGAATCCACGCGTCCTCCCTCTTTTGCCCAAAGAACCACATGGTAACCTTTGTTACAGGCAGCTTTTGTGCTATACACTGCTTTGAGTTATCCTATTTTGATTTTTTGAATTTTTTAAATATGAATTTTAAATAAAAATTTAATATAATATATACTTATATAACAATTAAATTTTTTTATCACATTGAAATTTACCTATTTTATCTTTAAAAAAATAAATAGACTTTTTTTATGATATGATAAATAATTAAAATTAAAAGATAATTATAAAAGTTAAAGTAAAAAAATATTTGTTTCTTTTAAAATATAAAAAAATAACTATTATTTGAGGAAAAATCTTAAATAAAAAATATCTACTATTTTAAGAACGGAGAGACTATAGAGAAAAAAAGAAAATTAAATTATAATTTTTATTTTTATTTAAAATTTATGTTTGAAAAACTAAAATTAAATTAGAGTAAGGAAAATTTTAAAAAGGCAGTATATTTTTAGAGATGTTATAATTTGGGCTCTTTGCTTATAATTTAAGCTGTAATAGATTGTAAAATAAAAATAATTAAATAAGAGAGGACCTCCATTTAAGAAGTCAATTTATTATCAAACAATTTTTATTTTAAAAATCTAATACAATATAAATTACCTAATAAATTCTTATAATCTTTTGTACAATGTAGAATTACTAGAAAATAAGTGATTTTATATCTGGACTTGGTTTAGGAGTGTTGTTCTACACTTATATAGTAGATTTTTTAGTCTCTTAATATTATAAAAATATATAAAATGTTTTTATTATATTTAATACGTATTTTAATTAATATTATATATATAAGATAATAAAAAAAATTAAAATTTAAAGCAATGGGAAAGTATTTCTAAACAAAGCATAATTTATAAAAATATCAATTTAAACATCCTAATTAACTAGGGCCCAAAAAAGGGAAGAAACCGCTGGATACTCCCCGATTAACCGAAAATGGGTAAAATGCAAAAAACTCATCAGTCATCAGTTATCACTGTCTCTTCCTATCCCTTAAGAATTCATTATTTCCCAATCGGAAAATTAGCAGTCCACCAATTCCAGGTTTACAGATGCCGATTTCTTCATTTTCTCTTCTCCGCTACCGAGCACCTTCCATCTCCGTCGCCCTTCTCCGTCACGTGTCACCCGCCCGCCACCTCCTCACCCTCGCCGCCAAACGCCCCACACCTAGCCCCAACCAGACCAACGTCTCCAGAAAACTCCAACCCAACAAGAATCTCCTCAGAGCTAAACAGAATCTCAAGGAGTACTCGTCTCTCGCCCCGGTCCTCTCCCCTCATGAGACCCCCCCTCTTTCCGAGTCTCAAGCCATCGGCACCGTCGCCGCCGCGCAAGCAAACTTCATGCGCGTCATAGTACAAAATGGTCTCGACGAAGGTTCTAGTAGAGCCGGAATTGAGCTGCTTTGTGTGGTGAGAGCATTACTGAAGAAGATAAAGAGGAGGGTTATGGTTGGGGACAGGGTAGTGGTGGGGTCTATTGACTGGGTGGACCGGAGGGGCATGATCGAGAATGTGTTCCAACGGAGCTCCGAGATCCTTGATCCTCCAATGGCTAATGTTGATCATCTGGTGGTGCTGTTCTCCATGGAGCAGCCTAAGCTCGAGCCATTTATGCTCACGAGGTTCTTAGTTGAAGCTGAGTCCACTGGGATTCCTCTCACGCTTGCTTTGAACAAAGTAGAACTTGTTGATGAAGAGGTTGGAACTTTAGTACTATAATGCTCGTCTTTTCCTCTTAACGTTTTCACTTTTGTTCTATTTATTTACTGCAATTCCTGGGTTTTTAAGTTTCTGATAACGTTTATTTGCACAATGCTTAGCTGAAGGAATCTTGAATGATAGTGAAACGAATGCCCCAGGTGCTGCAATTCCTGGTTTTAGTTTCTAATAATTGCAATTAGCTGAAGAAATCTTGATTCATAGTTCACCACTGTGAAAGAAATGCCAAAGGTGCTACAACTGATGTCGAGTTTTTACCTGGCTTCATGTTCTTTTGCTTATTGACTGCCATAAATTCCTTAGTAAATGATCCTTGTATTGCTCAGCAAATTTTGGCCTGGCTTTCATTTTTGAATTGATTATTCTAATTATGCATGAATCTTTAATATTTCCCTATTGTTTTCTGGTATTGTCAATTCTGTTCTGTTTTTAAACTGATTTAGAATCTTCTATGGCATATCCAGACATTGGTTGGATGGAAGTCTAGGTTGAGAAGCTGGGGATATGAACCAGTTTTTTGCAGTGTTGAAAGTAAACGCGGGCTTGATTATCTTGCATTCCAACTGAGAGATCAGACAAGTGTCATTGTAGGTCCAAGTGGAGTAGGAAAATCTAGCATAATTAATGCATTGAGAAGCAACCATCACGCTGCGGGTGCTCTTGAAGGCGATAATTGGTTTGATCCTGTGTGTATATTTTCCTTTTCTTCTAAACTTAGTTTTCGTCCATCTGTTTTGTGTGGGAAGGCTAGTGCATTATAATCTTCTCTATTTATTCTATTCCTCTTTCTTCAGATCTTGGGCAGCAAGTGGTTCGAGGATCAGCGGGTTGGGGAAGTTTCAACAAGAAGTGGCAGGGGGAAGCACACTACTCGCCATGTTTCTTTGCTTCCCTTATCTGGAGGGGGCTTTCTTGCTGATACTCCTGGGTTCAACCAACCTAGTTTGATTAAAGTGACAAAGCAATCACTTGCCCAAACTTTCCCTGAGGTTTGTGGTTGTTATCTATAATATACACTTCATTTTGATTTATTTACTTTTATATGTTTTGCAGCACATTCCAATTTGACTGATGTGTCTTTGCTTTTTCTTAGATTCATAAAATGCTAAAAGCCAAAGAACCTGAAAAATGCTCATTCAAGGACTGCTTGCATCTTGGTGAACCAGGGTGCATTGTGAAAGGTGACTGGGAAAGATATCCATTCTATTTTCAACTTCTTGATGAGATCAGAATCAGAGAGGAATTTCAGTTGAGGACTTTTGGGACTAAAAGAGAGGGTGATGTTAGGTATGTAAATCTAAAATGCTTCCCTTTTGTCTCCTCTTACTAGTATCAGATTTTCAAGTCTAAAAACTTGAACTAGCTATAAACTGCCCGGAACTGCAGTATTTTCAAATTTTGAAATATTGTTCTCTATTTCAAGTTGATATCATCAACTTCATATAAATTGCCTTTGAAGCGTTCTACTTGCATGCTCAATCCTGTGACTATTTGTGAAGTTATGTTGATCTGAAGGTATACTCATCATATCATATTTTGCTAACAGTTTTTAGCCTTCTGACTCTTGTTCCTGGTCCAACCTACCTTCTAACTTTTAGCCTAAAGTATGAGTATCATGGTTAGGTTTTGTTATAGCTACCTTAGAACATTTCTGCTTCGTTTGTAGAACTTAAAAATGTAATTCTCTTGTAGGTACAAGGTGGGTGATATGGGCATTCAACAAGCTGAACCACGACTGGAGCCAAAGAAGCATAGGAGACAATCACGGAAAAGGATCAACCAATCAATATTGGATGATTTAGATGAATTGGATGATGATGATGATATTGACTTAGAAAATGACCCTATTGTAAGAGCAATAAGGGATGAACAGCAGTAGGAACTTGCCTTTTGCTCTATAGTGTAAATAACTGGTAGTGTAAATAACTGGTGTTATGGCTTCTCAAAAAATACTAATCAAAATTGTATTGAAAATCACCTTCTTGATTTAGCCAGTTTTAGTTATTAGTATTCACAGCATTGTCCATAGTTCAATGGCATTTGGCTGAACCAGAAAGTGATTTCTTTGAAGGGAGAGGCAATGGGAATTCTCTCGTAAAATTTATTTTATCATAATCCGACATCACCCATTGCTGCCCCGGTGCTTCTATACCCTCTTGTTGTATTTTATATGTTTGATTCTAGTCATTTTGATTTGAAAATGAATGTTAGAGAATTAAACATGCAGCTAATTTGGGATGAAATTTAACTTAAAAGAAACACTAAATTATACAAAAGCATAACTGCACAAGGGATTGGATTTTACAAGCACACACCCTTTCACTACCTTATTGTGAAGCTCCTAAGGGAATTAAGAGTTACTGGACTAAATTACAACCGTGGGCTTCTGGATCCAAAACGTGGTCAATGCCAAGTAGTAGAAAGAGAACTCTTCAGCAATTGGGATAAGTTTGCGACAAAAAATATCATCCATGAAAATTTCAAGGACTGCCTTTGTAAGAACCAGGCAAGTTAAATGGTTTCCTACAGCAAAGTGCAACGGCACAATGCCTTGAACCAAGCCATTGAACAAGGTATTAGGCATCACTAAACCAACAACATTTTACAAGGTATCAAATAAAGCTAACACAACACAATGAATCTACCTATCCATTTCTTGGAGTTCCATGCAAGGAAAACAGCCAAATAGCCAAATAGCAAAACAGGTCAAGCCAACCTTTCCCCCTTCCCCCTCATGAGAAAAGTTGGAAGAAGAAAACCCCAGGGCCTAGACTTATTAAACCAGCAGACAAACCCCTCAACAAAGATTTGCAAAGATATTAGGGCCATGCTCAAACGGAAATGAGGTCAGTTCCATAGTCATATGAAACAATTGTTCACATTTTACAAAAACAGCAGTAAATTTTCATAACACAAGGCGTAAATTGTACTGCAGTAGGCAGCTTCTGTTCAACTATCCACAATCAGCAGCAAATACTCAGCAACATGAGTTGCAGCCAATGCTTCCATTAGAAGTGGAAGCCATCCATGTTCTTGTTCTATATTTAAAAGGGACAATCTTTTGTGTTGGAATAGTGTGTGGAATAAAAAAAAAAAAATTGACTACCTCAATAACTCTTTGCAAGTGGAGAAGACAAAGTACTTTCTGAAAGATGAGAGGCAAATACATCTATCTCACAACTGCTAGTCTAATAAAAGCCAAGGTTCCATGATAGCAGAAGAGCAAAATGGGCATTTAGGTTCTTAACAACTCAACACTCTTTTAATCTCTTCTATTCCAGTAACACACATGCAAGATGTTTCAAAGAAACTATCCCAGATTTCGAAGTTGTGGATTCTAAGTGAAGCTACACAAATGCACAAGCATTTTATTCCATTCATTAATAAACAC